TTTCAATAGTCTGTCAATACTCTTTCAATAATCTTTCAATAGTCTTTCATTAATCTTTAAATAATCTTTCAATAGTCTTTCAATAGTCTTTCAATAGTCTTTCAATAATGTTTCAATAGTCTGTCAATAGTCTTTCAATAATCTTTCAATAATCTTTCAATAAGGCCCTGTGTGCAGCGTATCTTCTGGGTGACTCTCTCACGGTGGAATACATTCTGGGTGTGTTAGTGGTGCTGCAGGTGCACCCAGCTCAGTGACATAAATACTAGAATATATGTCACTGGCCCAGCTCTTCTTGAAGGCGGGGCCTAACGTTACCTGCCCACTCTGCAGTGATTCACTGGACCAGCTCCTCTCATCATTAGTTACTTTCATTATTAGTTACTTTCAAAGTAACGAACAAATCAAAAAGCTGCAACATGAATGTAACTTTAATGCAACACGTTATAGAAATGTAGTGTAGTAGAAAGTACAGATACTTGATGTAAAATGTAGTGGAGTAAAAGTATAAAGCACCCACATTTAACTCTTCTTAAGTAAAGTACAGATACACGAAAAATGTACTGAAGTACAGAAACGAAGTATTTGTACTTAGTTACATCCCACCACTGGCAGTGTAAACATATTTTATTGGGTAAAACACAAATTGTCCCCTGCCATCTCATAATGACCTTTTATGAAATGTAAAACAGGAAAAGGTTCTTTTCTCAGACTTCTTGTTGGAGTCCACGTAACATATTTTGACATAAATGTTGTAAAAAGCTAAACCCAATAATCACGAGTTCATAAAGAGTTTCCTAGCAGCTGCAGCTCATCAGGTCATGGTTAGTTCAGCTTAATGGTGAAGATTTTATCTTTAAACTGTCATTTTATTTGAGCCTCTAGGGGTCCAAAGTTTAAAACGTTTGGCTCAACAAATCACTCCGTCCTCGTCCAGTTCAAGCCAGTTACCAACTGTTTTTGTTTTGTACTAGAATTAAAAAATACCACCATAGTACAAGTACCATGCCCACTAATTCTAGAGTCCGTAAAACTCAAGTGGTACCCTTTCCTCTAACTCAAACTCCAGATTTTGAACTTGTAGCTTTGTGGTGTTCTAGCTGTACTTGAATGAAGATGCACGAGGAGTTCGAAACGTGTCAAACCTGTTCTGATGATCTCACCTGGATGATTCCTCTCACTCCAAAACTGACGACAAGTATTTAGATTGAAATCAGCAGAGAAGCCCAAGTGGAGTAGAGAGGACGGCAGCCAGTTCTCAACCAGTCAATAAGTTGGTTTCATGTTACTTTTCATTTATTGAACCAGGACAGTAACAGTAGACTGTCTGCAACATATTTACAAGGGATGTGCAAACGGTACAAACCTACCAAAGCTTAGAAAGGCCAGGAAAGAACACCTGCAGCACAAATACCTGTGGAGCGCCTGCATGTTTCCTTCAGTTAGGTTTTTGAAAGACAATAAAAGAATAAACAAAGTTGAGTGTTGTTTCTTCCACTAAACTAATTAAAAAGGTTGCTGTTCTGGTGGATTGGACCCGGTGTTGCACCATACTCTGTGACCTGCAACAGTGCAGCACCGCCCCCTACGGTCATACGGTGGTCACACAATATGACGTCACTACGGATACTCCATGTTAAAATTTTAACATCGATAGATGTCCTAGCAATCGATGTGTAGATTACTAGAGTACACTGTTAATGCCCTAGTGTACATATATGTGTACATATAGGGGTATGTGTGTATATTTATATGTATGCGTATGTATATATGAAATAATAATAAAATATGTAAAATTATAATAATAAATTATAAAAATAATAAAATTATATATAGTATATATTAAAATGCTGGCTAGAACAGAGTGTCACTTTAGAGCAGATCATTTGTTGTTGAAGCCTTGTGGACTGAGCGTTTCCTTGTTTGTGTCGTCTAGCGGCGCTGCAGGCCTTGAAGAGGAAGAAGCGTTACGAGAAGCAGCTGACTCAGATCGACGGGACGCTGTCCACCATCGAGTTCCAGAGGGAGGCTTTGGAGAACGCCAACACCAACACAGAAGTGCTGAAAAACATGGGCTTTGCTGCCAAAGCAATGAAGGCCGCACATGAAAACATGTGAGTGGAACTTTGATCCGGGTTCTGTGCATTTCAACCACTTTTCAATTATGTCACGAGTCATTTTACAAACGTAAAAACTTGGCTCAGCCCTTCTGATTATTCTTCTTTGCTCGTCTTCATCTTCTCAATCATTTCCAAACCGTTCTTTATTCACTCCTCTAATTATGTGCTTAGGAGGTGCATATAAAGTATTCGGTGTAAATACTTTATTTTTGTAGTCATTGTTTATTGCATTTGTTTATAAGACACAATAATTCATGCAAAAACCAACAGACACATTCTTGTTGTTAGTGTTTTATATCACTTTGTAATGTAGCTGTTTTTGTTTTGTTTTTATGTCATTTCTTCTGTTTACTTTTCATTTTATGCTTTTTTTATTTTTATTTAACGGTTATTTTACCAGGATAAAAACCCCTGAGATTAAAAACCTCTTTGTCACGAGAGTCCTGGTCAAGAGGCAGCAACAAATACAAGATAAAACATTACACAGTTAAAAGAAAATGTCAAACTATCAGAAACAGCTACTATAAGACCAGCTAGCTATAAAAACAGGTACTTTTCATTGAATTGGCCTCAGTAACTTTTAGTTTGTGTGTAAAAGTGTTGAGTGAGGTGAATTCAGTCAGTCCCAGAGGTTCTTGTAGCCACTTCCAAGAAGACGGAGCAGCGTGAACGAAACTTCTGGCCCCATTCAGTCGGAGCAAAAGAGACGAAAAGAAGCAGCAAAGCACGAGCGACAAGTCTAAGAGTCAACATTTCTCAGTTAAACTGCAGGACGAGTGTAGTCCGGCAGGAGTCCCAGCAGTGCCTGGTAATAAAAGTTCACCAGAGGGAGTTCCTTCAGGCAGCCAGAGCAGGTCATCCACCGGAGCACAAACCACAGCGTGCGTTGACGTGCTGCAGTTTGTAATGACGCTCGGAGCAGAGAGGTAGACGCAGTCGAGCGTCTGAAGACATCGTGACGAGGCAGTCATGTCCAAACATGTCCATGGTCCAGCACACGCATGAACGTTGCAGAGACCAGCTGCTTTAATTTGAGCCTTTTCACAAGACTTTCCACATGAGGTCTGAAAGTGAAGGACTCAAACTGCCCAAATATTCAAATGTGTGAACCAGCTCCATTTCATTTCCACTGCAGGGGAACACAGAGGGGATGGTTTGTGGATCTGGAGAAGTACATCAATTTAGTTTTATCTGCATTAAGGACAAGTTTTAAATTGAATAAAGATCAATGGATAGCAGCAAAGACTTTTTGTAATAGTTCAATAACCTGAGTAGCAGAGGATCCAGTGCAGTAAATAACTGTCGTCTGCATAAAAGTGCAAATTAGCATCAGACGCATTCTGTCCCAGTTAATTCCAAATTGAAGGATGTGATGTGTGATCTGTTGTCTGTTCCTCGTCTGTGATCTTCATTAAATCAGGTCTCTCTTTAAACGAGTCCTCGAGGCTCAGTGAGACTAACCTGTGGAAATAAAGCTTGAATGAATAAAAAATCATTTCCTGTTCTTTGTGTTTTTGTTGCACATCATCCTTTCTTGTCTCCAATTTTTTTCAGGGACATCAACAAAGTCGACGATCTGATGGCTGACATCACAGAGCAGCAGGAAATAGCCCAGGAAATCTCAGACGTCATATCCAGACCAGTCGGCTTTGGAGAAGAGTTCGACGAGGTGAGAACCAGCAAACACTGTCGGTGGAGTCCGCAGTGAAACCAGTTTAGTTTAAAAACATTCTGTTTTGGTGCATGCTTTTGCATTTACATGTTCCTTTTTAATTATTAATATTCTTTTGCTGTTTGTAAAGTGTTTTATAAATGAAGTTGTAATCGCCGTGGTCCTTAATTAAGGAGTGATCTCTTTGATCATTTGTGAACTCTAATTGATTTCTGTGTTTTAGGATGATCTGCTGGCTGAGCTGGAGGACCTGGAACAGGAAGAGTTGGACAAAAATCTTTTGGAAATTGAAGAACCGGGAGATGTCCCGCTGCCAAGTGTACCGTCAACATCACTCCCGTCAAAGCCAGGTACGCCCCGCTACAGAGCACCCAACTTTGTCTTGGTTCATGTGAAATAAACTCTCCTGCTTTCTTTTTCTCTTTTCAAGCCAAGAAGAAGGCGGAAGAAGACGAGGACGACATGGCCGACCTGGAGGCCTGGGCAGCTAACTGAGCTAGCTTGCCCTGCTAGTCAGCTGTCTGCCCCTTCCTGTCTGTCTTTTTGCCGCCGTACTGGTTCCACATTTCTGGAAGAGAGACAGGGACCCTGAGACTGCTGCTGGCTTCCTGCACTGTCTTAAAACCTTTATCCTTAAATCTAACTACACTCGAAACCTCCAGCACGCACGTGTTTGCCGACCCAGATGAAGGAACGTCGGGCTTTCCTCTTCTGTTGAATGATACAGAATATATGCGTTTGCTTGCGCAGGGCTCTCTTCTCTTCCTTAAAATCAGCAAGAAAACACTCAGCGTCCTGTGGTTTCCGTCTGCGTCACAGAAAAGAGCAAGAATTAGCACTTGGATGCATACTGCCAGGCGGGGGTGGGGGGTGGGGGGCAGGATGGGACTTGTCTCTGGGAGAATGTGAAGAATCAACAGATACGTGCAGAAAAAAAGAAACAGCCATTTTTATGCTTCCTATGTTCATATATCTTTGTTCTATAAAAAAGACAAAAAACTATCTGCTAAATTTGAAAAGCAGCAAAAACAAATGTATCAAAAAATGTAAGACTGTCAAATTACAAAACAAGGACTTGGTACTATTGTTAAGTTTTGCATTGATAAAATTATAATAATAAAGATGACCTTTTCTAGGGGAATCCAGGGTTTGATTTCTCTTTCGATCACGTTTTTTCTGAAAAGCTCGTTCAGCATGTCATTTACTCGTTGGACGAGAGAACGAGAGGGTGTGGCTTTTTATTTAGTTGGCTTGATCTTTAAAACTATAACTCCCGTTTCCCTCAAGGTTGAACTTTTACAGTTCATCTTTAAACTGTTCGTCACTGGCTCGTGCAGGACTTGATTTGAATTTTGCGTCACGTGAGTCGGGTTCAAAGGTCAGACTGCTCTCCACCTGCTCTAATCAATGCTGATCAGGTGTGAATGGAAGATGGGGCTGATTGGGACATTACTGTTTCTTTGAGTCGGATGAATATGAAGGTATGAATTCTCAGTCGCACAAACGATGTTTCTTCAGCTCTGGTTAAAATCACTTCAGACCAGCTCGTTTAAACTTGTAGTGCACACAATAAAATAATTTAATTTATCCATAATTAATCTAAAATAAAGGAGGTTGTCTGTTTTATACACGCAGTTTAAAGATCTGTTTTTTAAAACGGACTCATCACAACGTTCATTTGAAGTAACGCGACGCACGAAGCCACGATGTTTGTGTTTTTAGGCGTAATGTGTTTTATAAATGCAACTGTTGGGCTTCCTGCTAAAATCGTAACACGATGCCTGAAGAGGACGTTTAAACCGATTTCTTCAAAAAAGGCTTCAATTGAAATTCAATTCAAAAATATTTTATTAACCCCAAAGGGAAATGAAATGTAACTCGTTATCCTGGTTTCATTAAGAGATGTTCTAGGAGATGCTGTAGGCAGGAAGGAACTCTTGTAAAGGTCTGTCCCACAGAGGAGCCAAACAAAATGGCCGCAGATGCTGTCCGATCCATCCACCCAGACTCAGCTGGCCTCTCACTTCCCCCGGGCTGAACCCCTCCCTGAGTGATGGACACTCCTCCCAGCAGCTTGTTGAGCTCCTCCTCACTGTGGACAGCCGGCTGCAGGTGTCGGGCGACGATCCCGGTCCTGATGTCGCAAGCCCCGTTTCCTGCCAGTTCCAGGATCTCAGTGGTCAGGCACTCGAGCACAGCTATCAGGGAGACGGGAATGCATCTACGGTACCTCCTTTTCATCTCATTTGAGACTTGGGGCTTTAGTTGAGATGTTATTGGAGCTTTTGAGATGTTAATCAGCTGCTCCTAGTTGTACAAAAAAAATCTACCTTGTCGTCATGGTTACACATCATAAATGTCCAAAAGTAAAAAATAAATAAATAAAACTAAACTAAAGATGGTTTACGTTTAAATCTGGAGCCTAATTCTTTTTTAAGTTTCTGATGCTGTTTACAACTGTTTTACCTCAAATATAAATCGTTCTGTTTGTACAGAAGTATATTGTGACCTGCTGCCAGTTCCTGTGTGGTACTGGAGATGTCTGCATGTTTACAATCTGTGGGATTAGATGAGGATTATTTAAATAAAGCTGGACTCAATCCATTCATCAGCCATGTTGCATTCTCATAAAATTATATTGACTTTCATGCCTTTTATTAATACATATCTGGTGCACCTCGCCTCCCGCACAGTGACCCTGCTACCTGGAAAGGAAGAAGTGGGTAAAGATAATAGATGGATGAAATGTCATACAGTTCAGAGTGTTCTTTTTAAATCCTAATCTAAACTATTTCAAAAGCTTGTTTTTTTTCCCAGATAAACATACCAGTACTTGTTTCCCTCCCATACTGGAGGATTAAACCAACTATGAAGCCGCTCTGGTTATAGTGATGCTTGGCGAGTTAAGAATTCATTCTAACTACCGGTGATCATCATGTTGTAAGTAAGTAAGTAAGTAAACTTTATTTATATAGCACTTATCATAGATACAATCACAAAGTGCTGTACAACAATAAAAAATAAAAGCTTAAAATGAAATAAAATAATAACAACTCATTAATAAAAACAGTAAAAACAGCTGAAAAAAAACAGTAAAACATTTAACTAAAAGCTTGACGAAATAAAAATGTCTTAAGCTGCGTTTTAAAAGAATCAACAGAGTCGTTCACACGGAGAGACAGGGGCAGGGCATTCCACAGGCGGGGGGCTACGGCCTGAAAGGACAGGTCACCCCGAGTTTTAAACCGGGTCTTAGGAACCTTAAGAAGGTTCAGCGCTGAAGACCGAAGGGTGCGGGCTGGAGAATAAGGAAACAACATTTCAGTAATGTATTGGGGGGCCTGTCCATTTAAAGCTCTAAAAGTCAAAACTAAGATTTTAAAATTAATTCTAAATTCAACAGGCAGCCAATGAAGAGAAGATAAAACTGGTGTAATGTGAGCCCTTCTGTTCGTTCCTGTTAAAAGCCTCGCAGCAGAGTTCTGGACCAACTGGAGACGAGCGACGGCAGTTTTGTTAAAACAAGTAAAAAGGGAATTACAATAATCTAAACGAGAAGAAATAAAAGCATGAATAATCATCTCCAGGTCAGATCTGGATAACATTGCCCTCAGTTTAGAAATGTTTCTCAGATGATAAAAGCAGTTTTTTACCAGAAGCTTTGAATGTTTGTCCAAAGACATGGACTGGTCCGACAGAACACAGAGGTTTCTGAGGTTCGGCTGAGAAGAGGAGCCCAGAGAACCGAGGTGTTGTTTAATCCAAGGAACTTTCTGTTCAGGGGCAATGATCAGGGTTTCCGTCTTGTTAGAATTCAACTGAAGGCAGTTGTTAGCTAACCACGCCTTAATATGTGAAACACAGTTTACTAATTCAGCTAACTTATGTAATTCTGAGTCATAAAAGGAACAGTACAGTTGAATATCATCAGCATAGAGATGGTAAGACACATTTCTGAAGCTACTGATAATCTTTCCCAGGGGGGGTGATGTACAGAAGGAACAGAATAGGACCCAACACTGAACCCTGAGGAACACCATTCAGTAACGGAGTGGTCTTAGACTGTATGTTATTAACAAACATTGAAAAGGTTCTGTTGCTCAGATAAGAAGAAAACCACTTAAGAACAGTTCCAGAAAATCCCATCTCATGTTGCAGTCGATGTATCATAATCTTGTGGTCGACTGTGTCAAAAGCTGATGACAGATCCAATAAAATCAAAGCACTGCTCTGACCAGAGTCTGCAGCCATCAATATGTCATTGGAGACTCTTAATAAGGCAGTTTCAGTGGAGTGCATCTTGCGAAAACCAGATTGAAACTTATCAAGAATATTATTATTTTGCAAGAAAGTAGTCATCTGCCCAGCCACTAACTTCTCAAGAATTTTGGTGAGAAAAGGTATTTTTGATATTGGCCTGTAGTTGCAGAGCTCAGTGGGGTCCAAGTTGGGCTTTTTCAAGATCGGATTTAAAATCGTTTGTTTCAAAAAACTTGGAACTGACCCGGTTGAGAGAGAAATGTTAATTAATTCTGCCACATGGGGGCTGACAATATCAGACACCTTTAAAAACAGTGATGTGGGTACAACATCTAGCATGCAGGAAGAAGGTTTGATCTTTTTTAGAACAACCTTCACATCCTCTAAGATGACAGGTGAAAATGAAGACCAGGGGCTCACTGTAGGGACAGAACTGGGGGTGACACCAAGAGCTGATTTAACACTTGCCCTGATGTTGTCAACCTTTTCCACAAAATAGTTTAAAAATCTATTGCAGTCATCTAATGTGAATACAGGCACCAGAGGGAGTGAAGGTGAAACCATATTATTAATGGTATCAAACAAGACTTTAGGATTTTTCTTGTTCATACTCACAAGATTAGAAAAATATGCAGACCTGGCCTGTTTAATCATATCATTTAGAGTTGAGATCAGCTCCTTTAAGTGTAGTCTGTGGACTTCAAGTTTTGTAGATTTCCACAGACGCTCTACCTTACGACATGATCTTCTGAACAACACAATTTCCTCATTTCTCCAAGGACAAGAGTTTTTACGAGAGGATATTTTGTGCTTTACAGGAGCAACCTCATCTAAGACAGACGGGCAGTGACTATTAAAAGACTCCACAAAGGAATCAGCATCACTGCAACTAGCAAAACAACTGGACTCAAAAGATTCTGAGAATTTCTCAACAGCAGATTGATTGATAATTCGCCTTTGAGAAATCACTTTATGAGGACAACTGTTGAGGTTAAAAGACAAATTAAAATAGACACAGCAGTGGTCGGTGACAGGAACATCCACCACACTCAGCTGGTCAATGATGAGACCAAAAGAGAAGACAAGGTCCAAAGTATGTCCCTTCTTATGTGTAGGCCCAGAAACATGCTGTTTGAAATGAAACGCCTCTGTGAGTGACAGTAACTCTGATGCTGCATTGGAGGATGAGTCATCAATATGAATATTAAAATCACCAAGAATTAAAATTTTCTCAAGCTTGATAACAGAAGATAAAAATTCAGAAAAATCCTCTAAAAACGCACGGGCAGGACCAGGAGGTCTGTAAATTAAAACACAATAAAATGAGTCAAAATTCCCAACCTTAGTCATCTGTAGTTCAAAAGAGCTGAAAGAATCTGGCTTCATGAGCCTGCAGGAAAAGCAGTCCTGATAGATGAGCGCAAGTCCGCCTCCTCGCCTGGCAACCCGCGGGGTCCCAAACACGGAACAGTTTGGAGGACACAGTTCATTCAGATGAATAAATTCCTGCTCCCGTTGCCAAGTCTCTGTCAAAAACATGTTGTACAATAATATTCAAACCATTTGGCATTAGATGGGGCTTTCACTGCAAAGCCTACCTGCAACAGTCAGCCTGTTACACATAGCCTGGTTGTGAGTGTCACTGCATGATCTGCACCATGCGTTCAGCTCTGAGCGCAGGAGAGGAGCGCCCACATTGGTCCTGTAGCTTGTATTAAAGAGGAGCTGCGCATGTACAACTTTAACGAGAGTAAGATTGACCTCTGTACAATGTTTTTGTGTTGACAAATCTCCTGTTTTCATTTTGAAGGTTTCCCAAAGAACAAGCTGTGAGGAAGAGGAGGAAGTATCTTTGAGGAGGATTCATCTGAGCAGTGAGGATTTTAAACTGGAGGATTTTGATCAAACTGGTCAGACTGTCCGACTGAGAGATGGTGTGGTACCATGGGTTCACCTTCAGAGAGTAGGAGCATCATTATAAGTTCATTAGAGTTCATAAAGTTACATATTTTATTGTGCGTCACACGGTGAGACACCTCCATGTGTTTCTATGAACAGGTAACTAGAGACTGTAAAGTTCATCTTCATGATGCTTTTTCATTTCAGCTTGAAAACTGCAGGACTACAGGAAGTGAACAAAAGCTGCAGCTGCTCTGTCTGTGGACGCTCAGGAACGTGCACGTCACACACACAACATATGCTCCCATCTAGACGTCATCTCTTTCAGGGAAGACCCTGCATTTTTCAACACGATAATGCCAGACCACATTCTGCAGCAATCACAACATCATGGCTACGTAGGAGAAGGATCCGGGTACTGAAATGGCCAGCCTGCAGTCCAGATCTTTCACCTATAGAGAACATTTGGCGCATCATAAAGAGGAAGGTGTGACAAAGAAGGCCCAAGACGATTGAACAGTTAGAGGCCTGTATTAGACATGAATGGGAGAGCATTCCTATTTCTAAACTGGAGAAACTGGTCTCCTCTGTCCCCAGACGTCTGTTGAGTGTTGGAAGAAGAAGGGGGGATGCCACACAGTGGTAAAATGGACTTGTCCCAACTTTTTTGGGATTTGTTGACGCCATGAAATTTGGAAACAACAGATTTTTCCCTTAAAATGAAACATTCTCTCAGTTTAAACTTTTGATCTGTGATTTGTGTTCTATTCTGAATAAAATATTAGATGTTGGCACCTCCACATCATTGCATTCAGTTTTTATTCACTATTTGTTTAGTGGC